AGAATAGGGCTATTATGTGTATAATGTAAATGCATTGCTAATGATTTTACTATAGGAATGCATTGCAAATGAGGAAGAAAGGGATTGTCAGTGGTCAGGAATGAATGCAAGCCTTACTGATAGAATAGGGCTATTATGTGTATAATGTAAATGAATTGCTAATGATTTTACTATAGGAATGCATTGCAAATGAGGAAGAAAGGGATTGTCAGTGGTCAGGAATGAATGCAAGCATTACTGATAGAATAGGGCTATTATGTGTATAATGTAAATGAATTGCTAATGATTTTACTATAGGAATGCATTGCAAATGAGGAAGAAAGGGATTGTCAGTGGTCAGGAATGAATGCAAGCCTTACTGATAGAATAGGGCTATTATATATATAATGTAAATGCATTGCTAATGATTTTACTATAGGAATGCATTGCAAATGAGGAAGAAAGGGATTGTCAGTGGTCAGGAATGAATGCAAGCCTTACTGATAGAATAGGGCTATTATGTGTATAATGTAAATGAATTGCTAATGATTTTACTATAGGAATGCATTGCAAATGAGGAAGAAAGGATTGTCAGTGGTCAGGAATGAATGCAAGCCTTACTGATAGAATAGGGCTATTATATGTATAATGTAAATGAATTGCTAATGATTTTTACTATAGGAATGCATTGCAAATGAGGAAGAAAGGGATTGTCAGTGGTCAGGAATGAATGCAAGCCTTACTGATAGAATAGGGCTATTATGTGTATAATGTAAATGAATTGCTAATGATTTTACTATAGGAATGCATTGCAAATGAGGAAGAAAGGGATTGTCAGTGGTCAGGAATGAATGCAAGCCTTACTGATAGAATAGGGCTATTATATGTATAATGTAAATGAATTGCTAATGATTTTACTATAGGAATGCATTGCAAATGAGGAAGAAAGGGATTGTCAGTGGTCAGGAATGAATGCAAGCCTTACTGATAGAATAGGGCTATTATGTGTATAATGTAAATGCATTGCTAATGATTTTACTCTAGGAATGCATTGCAAATGAGGAAGAAAGGGATTGTCAGTGGTCAGGAATGAATGCAAGCCTTACTGATAGAATAGGGCTATTATGTGTATAATGTAAATGCATTGCTAATGATTTTACTCTAGGAATGCATTGCAAATGAGGAAGAAAGGGATTGTCAGTGGTCAGGAATGAATGCAAGCCTTACTGATAGAATAGGGCTATTATATGTATAATGTAAATGCATTGCTAATGATTTTACTATAGGAATGCATTGAAAATAAGGAAGAAAGGGATTGTCAGTGGTCAGGAATGAATGCAAGCCTTACTGATAGAATAGGGCTATTATATAATGTAAATGCATTTAACCCGGATTTTACTATAGGAATGCAGAAATATAAGAAAACCAGGATAATGCAAGAGAGAATTTCTATTATATGTAAATTAGAACCTGTGTTAATGTATATAAAATAGAAAACCCGGATATAAGAGAATTTTCCGGATAAAAGAGCCTTCTTCTGTATTAACTAGACCCCTAGATATAAGAGACTCTTATAACCGGGTTATAACTGTTACACTGTATTTTAAAACACTGATCAACACCAAATTTATTGTTTAAGATTTTTAGCCGATTTCGGACAATTTTGATGTACTGAATCCAAAAATCAAATTTGTTTTTGCTCAATCAGGTCAACTTTTTGAGCTATGATCACATGCTGTTTTTTTTTTACTTTTTTGTTTACATTGTCATGTCCATTAAAATATGCAACATATTTCACACAATAAAACTTCTTTTTTTTTTTTCAAATATACGCTCATAAATAGGTGCCAGAGGGAGTAGTCAGTGATGTAAATTGACTTGGTTCATCAGGGAGTTTCAGGTCTTTCAACATCACACACCTCATCCATCACCAAGTCGACCCAATCAGGGGAGATCAATCCCTGATTCCCCCTCACAATCAAACAATAGCAGATACTCAGGCATTTTTAATGAATTATTATTTTAATTATAAACTTATTAATTTTAACCAATCAAAAGTATTTTCAGCTAAAAACAGCTATATAAATACTAAAACATGCCTTCAAAATATTTATAACCAATAACACGCAATAAAGTGCTTGCATCTCAAAACACACCAATTACACTGTACAATACAAATCAGATAGATTGTTTTATTAGTCATTATAATTTAGGTATATCATCAAAATATCTTGTGGATGTAGCAGTGAGCATACCACGTGACTTTTTAGGACCAATTAGGAATAAGTAAAATTATGTAATTCAGGAGCCAATTTCTCAAGAATAACAGTGTGAAAATAACAATATTTGACCTCGACAACAGAATCTCTGAGATCCCACTAAGGGTCATGTCACACTAACTGCCGATATTCAAGACCTCATTCGCTTCCACACACTATCAAGAACCGACTCAGCAGCACTGATCAAACCTTAAAGGGACTGCCTTCAGGCACTGGCAACGTCATCTACAGTAAGAGCTTATATTCTATCTCCTTCATACCCATTACAACTACGTACACAAACACACTAGTAATGACATTTCACCATTCTTAAATACGTATGCAATAAAGTTTTTACTATACAAAAGAACAACCAGAAAAAACATTACTCATTCAATACACTTCAGCCAACTGTATATTCCAGCTTGAATCCATCCTAGGTATGATGATAAAATACATCCATGTCCTGGGTAAGACGATAAACTACGTCCAGCAGCAAGGCCTCTCATCAGGAGGTTTTGAGGAGCATGGAACCATCTCTTAATTGCTGGTGTTCCCAGGACAACCTTGACCCGGGATGGTAGCACCTGTTAGGGTCTCAGCTATGGGCAAATAGTTAACCCCCAAACTGGGATCAAAACACTATGAAAGTGTAAAAATAGGTCTTAATACCAGGAATACTTTGTAAAAAAAATTATTACCAGCAATAAATCTTTGAAAAAAAAAAAAAAAAAAAAAAAAAAATTCTACCAGCTGTACATTTAAAAAAAAAAAAAAAAAAATTACCAACAATAAAAATTTTGTTGGCATTAAATAACCCATTGAGGTTGATATGCCGTAAAACAAACCAAACCAGCTTGAATTCTTGTCATAGAAAATTAAAATCTTTTATGATTTATTTTATATTAAAAAGGAAGCATTTGGCTCTCGGGTGAGGAAGAATTTAATTTATGTGTTAATTCATTACAGCCACTCCTACAGCCATTCCAATAACCTGGTCACTAAATGAGAACTTGTACCTGACAACTATATCAGGCATCTTCTTTATGTGGCATGTCCTCTGGGGACATAGGTGATCATGGCTCTCCACAATTTCTTAATAAATTTTGTCTTCTTGTTATCTCTCCCAAACTATGTTCCACCATCCATTTATTCAGGCTGGCTTTTCTTCTTCTATAGGCCGTGTCCCTTCAGGACATTGGTGATCATGGCTTCTCACAGTCTCCTGTCCTTTGTAGCTTTTAATACATTTTGTCTTTTTCTCATCTCTCTTAAACCATGTTCCACCATCCATTTACTCAAACTTACTAGTTAATCACTGAATGAAAACTTGTACCTGACTACTATATCAGGCAATTTCTTCGTTATGTGGTGTGTCCTCTCAGGACATAGATGATCATGGCTCTCCACAATTTCCTCTCCTTTGTAGCTCTTAATAAATTTTGTCTTTTTGTTACCTCTCCCAAACCTTGTTCTGCCATCCATTTTTTCAGGCTGGCTTTTCTTCTTCTCTGTGCCAAGTCCCTTCAAGACATTGGTGATCATGGCCTCCCACAGTCTCCTGTCTTTTGTAGCTTTTAATAAATTTATTAATTTATATTAAAAAGGAGGCATTTGGCTCTCAAGAGAGGAAGAATTTCAGTTACGTGTTAACTCATTCCAACCATTCCTCACTTAATTTCTAAATGTTTATACAGTAGTGTACTGAATAGTGAATATAATAAAAAATTTGAAAGAATGAACATCATTGTAAAAAAAAAAAAAATGTAGGATATTTTTTGCACATCTTTGCCTTGTGTTGTACAAAGTTTTTCTCCCTCCCCCCATTATTTTTCTTGTCAGAATCCATCTTGCACATTTACAAATCTACCATTTGTTCATGCATTGAATATTACTGCTGTATCTCATCCGGTGCTCCTACAATATCTCAAGATTCTTGAGAAAATTCAATAGAGAGTCTGCAATGTAATTGATCCTGACCTGGCATCTCAACCCCAGTCACTGCTATGACATGGCTTCCCTCTGTCTTTTCTACAAATATTTTCATGGCAATTGTTCTGATGCGTTTTCTCCTTGGTGCGTCACAACTGCATGAAATTAAGCATGATACTAGATCATCAACTGGGTCTCGCTGCTTCACTACTGAACTAGTTAGATACTATGGTAAGTTTTATTCTAATAGATTCTTTTCTCACAAGACAACAGGAGTGGCTGATTTGGCTAATCCAACAATGATTGCCATAGAAAAACAGACCACACAAATTGCTGCAACTGTTAAATAGCAAACAAGGTTATTGCAAAAATAAATAAATAATCATTATATATTGAAGAAATTATTTGCAAAATGGGCATTAACCATTAATGGATCTGTAGGCAGTAAGTTATCAGGAGACAGTAGGGTCAACATGTCTTGGGGGAGGGTGAGAAGCAATTTGTAAAACATTGTATAAAACACAGGGAAAGCAATTACAAATAACTGTTCAGACATTAAAAAGCAAACTAAAAACAAACTTGGACCTCCCAACCCTTCCACTAAAAGCAGCCAAATTCTGAACCCCCTTACCAAATGTATCCAAGTCCAGACCTACTGTAAACCTACTGAATCATGGTCTTTTAATCTTCTCTCTCCTTAAAATTTTTCTCAGTTTCCTTCAATCTCAGTAACCCTGTGTATCTTATTGACTTTATTGCCTTACTTGGAAGGTGAAATTATTAAAAAAAAAAAAAACACACACAAAGAAAACACACAAAGAAAAAACCCACCTGGTTTAGATGTGTGTGGTGGCAGTTCCTCAAGGAGGTAGGTTTCGATCAAGGTTGGGTATTCTTCAGGGGGTACCATTTCATCATAGGGCAGAGATGGAGGTTTTTGGCACCCAATAAACTTCACCTCTTGGTCTCGGCTGTCCACAAATGCCATGGCTATACATGCAATTCCTGAAAAAAAAAAAAAAAAAAAAAAAAAAAAAAATATTCTTCAGTTCTAAGAAAAGAGACACACACACACATCCTGCCTTTTATAGATAAAGATACTGCCCCACCCCCCAGTCTCCAATCCCTTTCTGTGTCAAACTCTCTATCTCAATGATCAACTACTTCTTTCTGCTTGGACGTTCAATACAGTCTGGGTTTAATAGGATTTTTGGTTAGAAGAACATCTATTTTTATTATATTACAAAATGATTATAATTCTTAAAGAAAGATTTTAAATTTCAAAAGGTCACTTGCAGTTTAGGAGCAAATTTGTCCTCAAGAGAATTGTTAGATCACAAAATATGATTTAACCCCTCACTAGAAACAATTGCCTTTATCTAAGATGACCCCACCTCCAATCCTTCCCTGTGACTCTCTATGTCCCATTCTTCCTTTCTGTTTTATTCTCTATGTCCTTCTCTATTTCTGTTTACCCTGTCAGATGCTCAACTCTGTCTGGGTTTAATAGGATTTTTGATTAGAACATTATGCATTTTTATTATATTACAGAATGATTATAGTTATTAAAGAAAAATTTTAATTTTAAAAGGTCACTTGCAGTTCAGAAGTGAATATTTAACCTTTGTGCCCCTAAAAAAAAATTATATGTCAAAAGAATGAGTATTCTCTTGAAACTGCTTTTACTGTAGACTTTTCAGTCCCTTGGCAATGTCTATTATTTTAAAAAGTGATGATTAGAATTTTAATATAACCAAAACATATGAAGGAGGATTTATACATTTTCTTTATTCTTGAGAAATGACAGCAAAGATGTTAAACACTATTTATTAGATTGCTCATTTACAAGAATATAAATGTAAGTGAACCAACTATAAAGAAATATTTGTTATTTACCATTTTATAAAGAAACAAATATGAAAAGAAATATTTTTATTCATAAACTTATAAAAATGTCTGAGCAAGAAAATTTAAATAAACACAATGATGTGTAACTGTAAATATAATTTTTGAAAAAAAAAAATTAATTTCCATTTTTTTTTCTTTCATTTGCTCTCACCAAATAAATTCACTAAAATAGGTTGCAAGCATATCTTCCTCTGAACTAAACATTCTTTTAATTTTAGATGAGACCACAAACACTCAGTATTTTGAATGGGCATTTCCCTATTCAGTGGGTGGACAAAGTTTTCTTTGCATATAATTACAGAATGTCTCTTATCAAATCTTACCTTACAAAAACTTGTTTACATAGTTATTCATAAAATAGTAAGTATTGCATTGTATTTGGTTTACATATTTTGATAATTTTTTATAAATTTTTTTTAATAAGATTTCTTTTCAAATTTATTTCTTTATAAAATGTTAAATAATAAATCTTTATAAAAGGCAGATAATAAATATCACAAAACTTAAACACTGGTGAAAGTTGAGTACATGTGCATGCAAAAAAGTTTCATGTATCAAGTGACACTCAAAAAAATAAACTCTGGGTCTTGGATAACTTGGAATGGGTAATATTTTTCCAAATACTATTGAAAACAACTTAAATTACAGTAAAGATGGCATATCATGATAAGCTATGTAACAATTATAGATATGAAAATTAGATTACAATGTTAAGAGTCCAGGTCTGGTTTAAAATGTTGGTAGTTCCTCTAGACAAGTACTAGTAGGCGTCTTTCTCTTCCTCCATTGTCTAAGACTCTGCCTCCAGGCAGAAAGGAAATTAGACGAGGCTATGCCAAAAGGCAGAGTCTCGTTTGGAGAAGTAGACAAACACAACCACATGTATATAGGGTCTACAGGTAATTTTTGCCCAGGCTTACGTGCTTGGAATGTCCATGTTAAAAACTGGCCTTGTGACACATCTTGCCTTGTGAGGGAAGGGGGTAAATAAAGGTAAGTAAAGTTAAAGTGTCAAGAGAGAAATCACAGCAGTTTGAATAGTATCTTGTGTATCAGTCTAAATAGTATCTATTGCCCAATCCACCCTGGGCAGAAGAGGGACATAAGTCTATGCTCCTGCTGCTGCCACTGCTGATAGGAACAGTCCATTAAGTTGGGGAGGGGAAGATAACTGGTGATACTAGTTACAATAAACAATAGTTGACAGTATACTGAAGGTGGAGGTATGGTGGAATAATGGATAGTGGTTTGAATTGAGGAATCGGTGAGCCGAGTTCAAATTCAAGTAGAGTTGGTTACATTTACTTATGTACGCGCAAATACCTTTGAGAAAGTTATGAATCCATCTCTTTTTCCCCAGCTATGGGTGAAATAACAATAGTGACTGGGACACTATAGCCTTTGTTGGCACCCAGTCTAGGAGGACAACTCTGAAATCAAAACCTATAATTAGGGTTAAATAGCCTCATTTAATTGGTAAAGTGTGGTGAGTATGGCTATACTACTGAAGAAATAATGAACTGGAGGTGGGGGTCTCTCCAACATAAATGAGAAGGCCCTGGATGTGGATGCTGAGACTTTTCAGCCGAACACACTCCCCTCTAATTGGACCAAAAGGCCAAACAGATAAATTCTTCTCAGTTGAGCTTAGAACTTTTTAGCACTCCCCTCATGTATAACTCTCTTACCTTTGCCTCCAGATGAACTCGGCCTGTGATATAAAAACACCTGATTTTCTTTTAATTCCTGAGGTTCGCTACTTGCGTAGTCCTGGGAAAAAAAAAAAAAAAGAAATTCATAAGCTTTAATTGCGTATGTATTTATTGGATACATACATATTTACATATGTATGTATTATATATATATATATATTGCATGCATATTTATTTATTGTGCATGTATCAATGTATGTATTTATTGCCTATATATAGGGTGCAATGTGCAGTCAACAAAAACGAAAAATGCACATGCACAAAATTAAAAATATGAAAATGGCAACAATTTACCCATCGCATCCTGTAAGTACTTCTGTAATTATGACATATGTAATTATAGAATTGGCTACTATATCCCATACTAAATAATCATTCTGAAAAACTAAGACCATATCTTTTGCTGACTATGGTGGAATTAATAAAACCTCTGTAAACAACAAAGAATAGAACCAAGGCAAACCTATGTGCTATGTCCATTCAGGATGTTGCTGATGATGGTTTTTTTTCCTGTCCTAAAAGAACTCTTAATAAATTTTGTCTTTTCTGTTATTTCTCCTAAACCCTGTTCCTGTCATCCATTTACTTTGCATGCTTAATGATTAATTTTGTCAAGTCTTAATAAATTTTGTCTTTCTGTTATTTCTCCTAAACCCTGTTCTGCCATCCATTTACTCAAGCTTGCTTTTCTTCTATATGTGCCATGCCCCCCTCAGGACGTAGATGATTATGGCTCTCCACAATTTCCTGCCCCATGCAAGTCTTAATAAATTTTGTCTTTCTGTTATTTCTCCTAAACCCTGTTCTGCCATCCATTTACTCAAGCTTGCTTTTCTTCTATATGTGCCATGCCCCCCAACAGGAAAAATGATTATGGAAAATCCAAATTTTCCTGCCCCATAAGTCTTAATAAATTTTGTCTTTTCTTTATTTCTCTTTCCTGTTCATCCATTTACTCCTGCTTTTCTTTCTATATGTACCATGTGGCAGGAACGATTATGGCTCTCCATTAATTTTTGTTTTAATAAATTTTGTCTTTCTGTTATTTCTTCCAAACTCTGTTCTGCCATCCATTTACTCAAGCTCATTCTTCTTCTATGTGCTGTGACCATTCAGAATGTAGGCAATCATGACTCTCCACAACTTCCTATCCCTTGTAGTTCTTATTAAATTTTGTCTTTCTGTTATTTCTCCTAAATCATGTTCTGCCATCCATTTACTCAAGCTTGATTTTCTTCTTTATGTGCCATGCCCCCCCCCCAGGACATAGATGATTATGGCTCTCCACAATTTCCTGCCCCTTGTAGTTCTTAATGAATTTTGTCTTTCTGTTATTTCTCCCAAACCCTGTTCTGCCATCCATTTACTCAATCTCACTAAGTAGGTTATGCATTTTTTCCCCTCTGTCCCACTTGCCTTCAATCTGTCTTGTGAATATCATATTTTCTAATCCCTCCTTCTTCATTATGTGCCACAGAAATTTTAATTGTCTCTTCCTGATATTAAATCTAAGTTTCCTTTTTGTTTCTATTTTCTCTAAACCTTTCTTGTTACACAAATGTTCAATCCATGATATCCTCAGCATTCTTCTGTAGAACCATATTTTGGTTGCTTCATGTCTCATCTGTGAGGAGATTGTCCAGCAAAAGAAAAGAATGTTACTCTTTTGGTGATGAGAATATTGAAACCTGTCCTTGTGAGGTAAGGCAGCCATTTGCAATTTTTTTGACTGAATTCCAAAATGAGGCTCCATTGTCTGCATAGATTAGAGTTTCTCAACTAGTGCACCCAGGCACACTAACACACCCTGAAAGTTAGCCTGGTTCACCCTAAATTAAGAGAAAAGTAATTCATGAATTATTTTCCTATTTAAAGAACAAAATTATATTTTAAAAAACTAGAAACATCAAGTTCATGTCTTTCATGCCTAAGTCAACTGACATTTCAACTAATCACATTGGCTTATCTATAAACACCATGATTGGATTCGCAGCTTAAAGATCCCAATTCATCAAAACAATGTTTCTCAACAGTTTTTAATTACTTCTTTTATCATCTTCCTATATTCAAATTTCATGACTAACTTTTCCTTATTAAAATTTAATATATATACCAGAATTTTAGTTATTCTAAAAGTGTACCCTTAATTAAAAACGGTTGAGAAACATTGTTCTGATGAACTGGGATCTTTAAGGAGGGGATAATTATTTCCACTTTGATTTCCTATGGGGATTTAAGTCAGTCATTATCAGCCTTTCTAAAAAAAATAGTAGACTCTTCATAAATCCGTTTAAATGAAAACTGTACAACTTAAATATACAATGTAATGTCTTAAAAATAAAAGCTTATTTCAGGAGACTTCTTTATTATTTTTCATATTTTCAAATTTCAGGACTAATTTTTCCTTATTAAAATTTATAGTGTGCTCCATCATTTTAGTTATTCTACAAGTGTACCCTTAAGTTTTGTTTAACGGCATATCAACTCCATATGGGTCATTTAATGCCAAAATTAAATTTTCTCCTTGTTAGAAGTAATAAAATATTATATGTTATTCTGCTGGTTGAGATATCCCTAGACACGAGCAGCGGAATGATGACAGTCTACCACCAGAGATTGAATAAAGGGTTCAGTTCGTAATTCGCTATATGTTACCCGGAGTGAAATACACCTGATTAATTCCAGAGAGTACAATGACTGAAAATGGTCAAAATATATATTAAATTTCAACTGGTGGATATAGTTTGCCTTCCTCAAGGGATTTAAATCAGTCATTATCAGCCTCTCTAAAAAAACAAACCAAAAAAATAAAAACAGAGTCTATAAATTTCATTGATGAGAAAATGAGAGCCTGTTTATCACAAATCAGGCCAAACATTCAAAAAACTGCCAAAGCACATCAAGCATAGGTTTCACACAAGCATCCTTAAATATACAATGTAATGTCTTAAAAATAAATGCTTATTTCAGGAGACTTCTTTATTATCTTCCTATTTTTAAATTTCATGACTAATTTCTCCTTATTAAAATTTAAATCAGTCATTATCAACCTCTCTATAAAAAAAAAAAAGCAGATCTTTTATTGTTATAGAGTAATTTCACAGTGGAGGCTCGTATTTCACTAAGTCGGTCCTAAATTAGGTTTGACATACAAAACGTTAGGAACTTGTTATAATAGTTAATGACGCAGCAATCTAGTTGTGGTGACTAATACTTTAATGTCCGACATCGACTGACTCACCAATTCACTGAGCTCCTTCACGACTGCTACTACTTATTATATGTGGGAGAGTCTATTAACAATAGAATAGGCATGTTGCAGTATAACATTTATAAATTTCATTGATGAAGAAATGAGAACCTGTTTATCACAAATCAGTCCAAACATTCAAAAAATTACCAAAGCATATCAAACTTGAGTTTCAAAAAAAAGCATCCTTAAATATACAATGTAATGTCTTAAAAATAAATGCTTATTTCAGGAGACTTTAAAAAAAAGTGGATAATCCATTCCCTGAAGGGAATTAAATCAGTCATTATCAGCCTGTCTATAAAAAAAAAATAGCAGATTCTTTATAAATTTCATTGATGAGGAATTGAGAGTCTGTTTATCACAAATCAGTTCAAACATTCAAAAAATTTACAAAGCACATCAAGCATGGGTTTCATACAAGCATCCTTAAATATACAATGTAATGTCTTAAAAATAAATGCTTATTCCAGGAAACTTATTTAGCATTTTCTTATTTTCAAATTTCAGGACTAATTTTCCCTTATTAAAATTTAAGAGTTTTAGTTATTCTACAAGTTTAATATACAATGTAATGTCTTAAAAATAAATACTTAGGAGACTTATTTATCATTTTCATATTTCATAACTAATTTTTCTTTATTAAAATTTAAACTGTGCCCCCAGAGTTTTAGTCATTCTACAAGTGTGCCCTGAATTTAAAAAAAAAGGTGGAGAAACCTGATATACATACATATATATATATATATATATATATATATATATATATATATATATATATATATAGATAGAGAAAGATTATAACAACTTTGACCTTCCATGCTTTATTTTGGAAAACTGTATGCTACTTACAATGAAGTGTTTTGTTGGGTGATTATCAACATAGTTGGGTACATGGACAAACTGAAGGAGATTCTGCTTTAGGTAGTAACAAAGGGGAAACAACTGTTGAAGGCTGCCATTTGGAATCGTGACGTAAATGGTATCTTTTGGTGCCTCCTTATGTCTTTGGATAAACTGAAAGGAAGAAAAATAAATGTAATCTTCTTACAAGCACCAGGTTTTGGTAAACATTTTTAGTGATGACAAAAATATGACTTTAATGGAATGCTTCTTTCTTTTGTTTTTAATCAATCAAGCAATAAAGCCACTAAGATGCAAGGGGTTATTGAGTGTAGAATGAGAAAGAAAAAACACTATTAAGGAGAGAGGACATTAAAAAGACAGACAGAAGATAACAATTGACATTGCATTTAAATTTTTAATGATCAAACTTAATTATTTATTGCTAAAAACGGAGCATTTACTTAAATTATATCTATAAAAATAATGGATAAACAGAAAATATATTTAAGTAATTGCACAGCCTTAATCCATTTTATTATATATATATATATATATATATTGTTGTTATGGTCCAGTTCCTTGTACCACGGTGATAGTCCAAGGTAGAACCAATAAAGAAGAACTCGAACACAGGTATGGAATAACACAGATATATTACAAACAGGAATATATAGAGAGAAGTAGAAGTGTTAGTATGAACAATCAGGTTTAGTAGAGAGAACAATGTAGTCTCGACCAGTATCATTATTCCAATGTCTTGCAGTAATTGTCTGAGCGCGACTCTGTCTCGGACTGCCTCTGACTCGACTCTTGACTCGACTTGAACTACTGACTATATTTAGTCACCCCCCACCCCCACCGACGTGGGCATCATGTGGCACAAGGCCGGTTTAATGTTGGATCTCCGAGCCCATGGGCTCGGCCAAAAATATGCTCATTGAACCCATATAAACGGGTTCAAGGTCGGTTTACTTCCCCGAAAGAGACTCTGCCCTTCGGTGTAGCCTCTTTCGGGTTCCTCCATGCCCGATGATTCATAATTCCATTATTTTTATGGATATTAGGCTAGCTAACATGAATTAAAAAAGATTAAAGTTTCATGCAAACAACCAGAAAAAGAAATGTAAAGATTGACATATAAAAAAAAACAACTACTTCTCCTTTGGTCATACTTACTCGGACATCCTCAAAGTTTAGTTTACATTTGGGGTTCCGATCCAACATCACAGAAATAATATCCAAGACTGTGTCATCCAATTTGTTTTGCAGCATCTTCCGGAGGTCCTCGGTCATTTCATCTCCTGTGTAAAAAAAAAAAAACAAATAATAGTAATCATCATCATCATTTGTGTATGTTATGTTTCCTGTTTTATAACCTGGCGAGTCGGGTCCAAACTATGGTCCTTAGGCCATATAGGAGAATTGTCATTTAATTGATAGCACTTTTTTTAGTATATGAGATGTTCCTAGTAGGGCGATCTTTTCGGCAACTTGTATGTTGATGTTATCTGGGAGATTGTTAGTAAAATTGTCTCACAGGGCCCAGAGCTCCGATTAATATTGGTACAGTCTCAATCTTCATTTCTCAAATTCTGTTAATCTCCAGGTTCTTGTATTTGGACAAAATCTCAATAATTTTCATGGCAGTGTTTCTCTCAGATGGTATGGCTATGTCAATAAGCATACATTTCCAGAGTTTCTTGTCTTTTATCATAATATCAGGTCGGTTGGCTTTTATTTCCCTGTATTATCATTATTATTAGTATTAGTGGTATTATCATTATGTAATCATTATTATTATAATAATAATCATCACTATCATCATTATAATAATAGTTATCATCATTACAATAATATTATCATTACAACAATATTATCATTAATGATGATAATTATTATCATAATAACAATTATCATCCTTATAATTATAATTATTATAATAATAATTATCATCATTATAATATCATCCTTATAATTAATATAATAATAATTATCATCATTACAATAATATTATCATTAATGATGATAATTATCATTATTATTATAATAATTTTATCATCATCCTTATAATTATAATAATAATAATTATCATCAATATAATAATAATTATCATCATTACAATAATATTATCATTAATGATGATAATTATTATTTAATAACAATTATCATCATTATAATAATAATATTATCATCATCCTTATAATTATTATAATAATACTAATGATATTTATAATGATGATGATGTTTTAAGCCACTGAAAAAAAGGATTAAATTTGGACCTTTTGTTTGCTTCTCCCAGAAGGTGACCATTCTAGTGTTAATTGCTTATTTTGGCTAAGTGCTGTATACTGAGATATTCTGGACTATAACAAGGTCGGTATTGTAACTGAAAATGCTACATTAATTATCGGTCAGAAAATTATGAACAAAATTAGATTAGACCAAAAAAAGAAAAAATTTTTTGCAAGTCTTTCACTCCAAGCATCACAATAAAGCCACAAGGAATAAGATGCGCATTTATATTTTTAGAAGATCAAAACTGACTAGAAAGAAAAAAGCCATTTGAAGTAAAATGGTGAGACCTCATTGCCAATCAAGGACTGCATTTAAATTTATAATGTTGGGATACCAATGAGGAAAGCTCGTTATCAAAATATTTATAGAAAAGGCAGAGGGAAGCTATATTATGGCTTAAATTCATAAAGTTTAGGTACCAAAGAGGAAAGCTCATCAGAACAATAACGATGGAAATATTTATAGAAAAGGCAGAGGGAAGCTATATTATGGCTTAAATTCATAAAGTCTAGGTACCAAAGAGGAAAGCTCATCAGAACAATTACGATGGAAATATTTATAGAAAAGGAAGAGGGAAGCTATATTATGGCTTAAATTCATAAAGTCTAGGTACTAAAAAGGAAAGCTAATCAGAACAATTAGCATGAAAATATTTATAGAAAAGGCAGAGGGAAGCTGTATTATGGCTTAAATTCATAAAGTCTAGGTACCAAAGAGGAAAGCTCATCAGAACAATTACCATGAAAATATTTATAGAAAAGGCAGGTGGAAGCTACGTTATGGCAGTGCTAAAATGACTGAAGTCAAGATATCAGGTTGGGATAAATAATATTGCAGATTCTTCTTTGTAGTTTATCAATAATCTCTGAATGTATAGCAGTAGCACTAGACCATACGTGGCAGCAAGATTCAATGCATGGACAAATATTTTTTTTTTTGTTTTAAGCATTTCAACCCCAAGCAAGGTGGGAAGCCACTAGGACGCAAGGGGTTACAGAAGATTTTAATAAGAAATGGTAGACTTATATATGTGCAAGGTAGATTCTGGTGATAAAAATTGTTTAGCAAGACACAATGAATCAACTTACCAAACAGCAATTGATTCAATAATAGACTTTCAACTTCATGTCAGTGGAAAACATTAGCTTGAGAAGATTGGAGGACACATATTTTCTATGAAATTTCAGGCTGGCTAATGTAATTAATATTGTTTAATTAAAGATTTATAAATATATTTACTCAAATAAGTTATAAAAATAAAAAATAACATATGAACAGAAAATATATTAAAATATTTGTCAGATTTAATCCATTACCTATTTTATATATATATATATATATATATATATATATATATATATAAATAATGAAGAAATATAGTCTTAAGATGTGCTATATTTATGGAATAAAGTGCTCAATATCAGAGAGAGTGTTGTTTTAAATATAAAAAAAAACATATTTTTGTCGTCAACATAAAGGCTTCATACAGTCTGTTTCATGCTATATGCAATCAGACTGTACATTTTAAACATAAAGCATTTTTATATATATATATATATATATATATATATTATAAATACTTTGGATTATTAACCTAACAGTTCTTTCCTATTTTTCTATATATTTAAACACACACACACATATATATATATATATATATATATATATATGTGTGTGTGTGTGGTAGTAAACTGAATTCTTTTGTTGTATGTTATAAATAATGATTTCATAATCATGGAGTATTTTAAACTTAATCTCAATTTATACTTACATTTTTTTCTTTCTGCTATCTTTTTCAAAATTTAACAAACTTTTCAATATTTGTTTATTTATTTACGTACAACTATTTTGCTTATTTGTCTTGCATTTTAGTGATTTTGTTTACTTAAAATCTGTTAATTTTGGGAGGAACTTTTGAAACACGCAATTTATATAAATGTTTATATATCTACATTATATATGTTCCAAAAGTTGTGTGTGTGTTTGTTTTTTGCCAAATATTTTTTTCAGATTATCTTTTGAAAGTACCTGAGACTCTGTATATTAAGTCCAGGCAACCATCCCTCTGTAAACAGAAGGAATGCTTGGTTGCGGGATTTTAATGTAACTTGTCTGAGTTATATTATGGATTCTTTTGTTGTATATTCTTTCTTGCTTGTTGTGCACATATTTATATGTTTTGTGTTTGACTGAGCTCTGAATCGTGGGGAGCATGAACTGATTAGCTTATTTTTCTTTTGATATATTTTCTGTTTTAGTTTTCAATTCAATATTTTACAGTGAGTAATATTTTTTCACATCCCCATTTCTTTTAGTATATTTGTATATATTATTTGAATATACATTTTTAAAAATGTCCATTTTAAAGCCACTATCAGATTATTTTTTTTAGTCATCTATGACCATTATATAGCAGTTGATTTGCAATAGTCTTAAATGTTACCCTTAAAATTTCACTTCCTTGTCACTTCTTCTTGAGCATGACAACTCAGTAGCGTGCAGAAACATGGGGTCAGAGGGTGAAACAACTGCAGGCATCCATATCAATAGGGTATCCAAATTTTGAAATTTGAAATAATGTGTTTATTTCTGTTTTCATCTGTTTTTACATATTTAATCTTCCTTTCTCACATTTCTCAATAAAGGTGCTATAGACACCCCCCCACCCCGATACTTGAGTCTTAGGGGTATACGACCAGGGAGTTGGCTCCAGGCATAATCAAACTTCATCAAATCTCTGCACACCACTGTGGTCACACATCTTTTTTTTTTATCCACTTTCCCTGGACGTAATCATATGCCTTTCCCCACTTCTCAAGCCTAACCATATATCCCCCCCCACCCATGTGACCATACATCTTTTTTTATCCTACTTCCTGAGCACTCAGGTGTGATCACACACACACATTTTTTTTTCACTTCTGAGAGAAGCCGCCAACCCCATGCCTCACCATTCTCAAGAATGACGCAAAGAGTTCCATTCCAAAGAACAATCACTAACCTGCAGGTGTAATTCCATGCATGGACACCTTGATGTAATCCTCTGACCGCTTGGACACATAACTTCCCATAGAAGAAATCGATAGAGTGTCTACATCTCGTAATGACTTTGAGGATTCCTGACAAAAATGAAAATAGTTATTAGAAAATAGCGTTTAATAAAATTCACTTATGAAATAAGTAAAAATAAGATGTTTTTAAATTTATATTTTATTTTGTGGGTGAATTTATCTCCAACTTCACCCACGCTACCCTCAAATAATGAGGTTTCACCCTTACAGTTGGGTTCATATCTTTATAAAAGCAGGTGATTATAAATACAGTTTTCTAAAGACACACACGAGTTAAACATCAAATGTAGATCAAATATGAATCAGAATCCAAAAGTATGGTAAGATATAGAACAAATAGGAAATGTTTATTAAAGCTTCATCAGACAAAAAGACAGAAGTTCTAGTATTTACTATCTTGTGTGGTTTGATTTTCATTGGTCAGTCATGTATCACATGCATTGTAACAGTAGACTTTGGTTTGGTTAATTTTGTTTTACGGCATATCAACCTCAATGGGTTATTTAATGCTGACAACATTTTTAGGATAGATTCGTATGAATAGAATGTGTATTCTTTGGTTTAGATTGGTTTGGTTTATTTTGTTTAACAGCATATCAACCTCAATGGGTTATTTAATGCTGACAACATTTTTTATTGCTGGTAATATTTTGTTTTGTCAAAAATCTGTTTCTGGTAATATTTTTCCTTCAAAATTGTATTGCTGGTAATAGTTAACTATTTGCCCATAGCTGGGACCCTAACAGGTGCTACCACCCTGGGTCAGGGTGAACTTGGGAACACCAACAATTAAGAGGTGGTTCCACGCTCCTCAAAGCCTCCTGATCAGAGGCCTTGCTGCTGGATGTAGTTTATCGTTTTACACAGGATGCGGATGTAGTTTAATGTCTAACCCAGGAAGATTTAATAAAAGTGAAACATAGGAGATTGATAAATGTTTCCTATTTATTCTTTATCTTATAATATACGTATGTGTGTAAAATTTCAGATATATCCAAAATATATCTGTAAAAGGACAATATGAATAAAGACGAAAGGAAAACTTATCTTAGATGACAAGTTTCATCCTCCAACAGATTTTATCAAGGTAAATGCTAGGATTTTATTTTGCAACAAGTATTTAGAAACAAAAGTAAGAATGCCTAGTTTTTCAGAATTTTTCTATAATGTAATTAATATTTATATTATTTTAATTTGGGATTCATTTATGTATTCATTCAGATTTTACAAGAATCCAGCCATTTCTTCTTTAAAGATACATCAAATAAAAGTGAAGGTAAATTATGGAGGATGCTAAGTGATGTTATTTAATGTTTAATAAGCAAAAGTGAGTAAATGTTATTGAGGTTGAATTTTTTTTATAATAAAATTATTATTTATTTTATACATTACTGTATATACACACATATCATACAACTTTTGAAGACCCACTAAAAAATAACAGAGTAATATTTATACATAAAAGTTAAAATGTTAGTTCTTCAGAACTTTGTTGTAGCATACCTATGGACAATAATGTGTATGTCCCCATTCACATAAATAGAGTAGTAAATACTGTATGTTGGTCTGCAGTTGGAGATTCATTGTGGAATTCACTTGACTCACTTCTAGCAGTTAATTACTTCTTCTATGCACCAAAATTTTTGATTGGTCATTTCAGTTCATGTGACAGCCTTTCCCCTTATGAGGGATGGTTAATTAATTTGAACCTTTTGAAACCTTTACTCTACAATCTACATTGAACACCATCACTTGATAAGACATCAGAGACATTGAAACAAAATGGCTATTTTTGTAGTGATTTTATAACATATTTATGTTATAATTTTTAAATAAATATATATATGTGTGCGCATTTAGGCAGCATTTTTTCATGAAAACAAACAAAAACTAAAAATTGAAGCTATATACATAAAATAGTTGAAACCTAACCTGAACAAAATATACTATGACATTTCCACAAATATTCTTAAATGCTGATAATTGGCAACAGAAGCCATTGGTTTATACCAACAGTTCCCATACTTAATACTTCTCATTTTCACTCTTGCGTGGTCATGTGTGACGTCATGAGCTGCGGTGCGATTTTCGCTTCCAGCATCTCATATGCATGAGTTTGTCGTTGCTTGGAAATCTTTCATGCAACAAAAACAGACTATTATTATTGTTTTGTCCATGTATTGTTTAATATATTGAAATGTAATTTGTTATCTTTGATAATGGCTCATGTAAGCCGAAAGCTTAGATCAGATTAAAAAACAATATGGTGTTTTTCTTTCATCTTTCAATGATAATGTTATTAAGCTTATCAGACAATATGAAAGGGATTTACTTAAAATAGACAAAACTTGTCTATATTATTTAATGAAATATGCAGCTATATATATATATATATATATATATATATATATATATATATATATATATATATATGTATGTATGTATGTGCACATGTGAGGTTATGGTCTGGATTAACTTTCTGATTAACAGCTTTTTGCTACAACTAATCAGGCAGGCAATGTAGTTACGAGGAAAGTGAGTTGTGTTCAAGAGGTCGTGAACCCCACTCTACTGTCAACTTGTGATGTCATTTTTTCCACTTTTGCTGCTTTAAAGAGGTCATCAAGTGTGTGGCTAGGCTGAAAGTCCTTAGATTAATTAAGGAGAGGATTTAGATATTTACTTACCTCGTCATCATCATCATCTCGCTTTGGAGTTGAAATGGGAGAAATTGTTGAACAATCTGAAACAAATGGAAGGTGGGGAATATGATTTAAAAACTTACTGAAATATTTCAATACAAAACATTCACATACATCATTCTAAATTAAACATTTTTATAAATATATACATGCATATATATATTTAATATAAAAACATTTTATAAATCATTATATATATTTAATATAAAACATTTTATAAATCATTATATATATTTAATATAAAACAATTTTATAAATCATTATATATATATATATATATATATAAAATTTAGAGAGAGAGATTATAAAATGTTATATATATGTATATATATATATATATATATAGTTTATAAAGTGTTTTATATATGTATATATATATATATATTTTTTTAAAGTGTTTTTTATATATATATATATATATATATTTATAAATATGTTTTTATATATATATATATATATATATATATATATATAAACATTTTATAAAAGTGTTTTATATATATATATATATATATATTAGTTTTATAAAAGTGTTTTATATATATATATATATATATATATATATATATATATTTATTTTATTTTATAAAGTGTTTTTATATATATATATATATATATATATATATATATATATTTTTTATAAAAAACTTATATATATATGTATATATATATATATATATATATATATATATATACATAGTTTATAAAGTGTTTTATATATATATGTGTCCTGGTTATGAATTTTGAACTGACATCTGGCAGCAAGTCTTCTCATCAAAGATTGGAGGATTTTAAGGGCGTGGAACCACCTTTTAATTGCTCTTGTTCTCAGGTCTGCCCTGACCTGGGGTGGTAGCACCTGTTAGGGTCCCAACTATGGGCAAATAGTGTTTTACCAGGGCTGACCAAGCTCTTTTATCCTTATAAAACATGATTGGTCTAGGAGATGGAAAACTCTTTAAATCATGGAAAAAGCCCGAGGTTTATATCTGCTTTTTCTGTGGTATTTATTTAACCGACTAACAGGTATCAAAAGTTCTGAAAAGTGTGGATGATTCTGCATAAGCTTTCACCACTTTAATCAAATCACTTTTATTTTTCTGGTGGTTTACCTTGATTCGTTCTTATCCACACAGTTCATTGCAAGGTCCACTGGCTTAGGAAAAGCGAATGGCCCAAGGGTCAGGTAAAACCATATATATATAACATTTTATAAAGCATATATATATATATATATATATATATATAACACTAGCAGTAGATTTTTTAGCATTGCCGGGGATGTAACAGTAAAGAGATAGATCAATTATCGACTATCATAAAGACTGAAAAATAAAATTGACAAAGATTATTGTTTAAGGTTGATGGACACGCATGTCTTAATTAGTTTTATTTTTTTTTTTTTTTTTTTTTTTATGAATTGGTCAAACCCAAACAAAACATTGTTTTCAATCGTTATGAGTCTACCGGTTGAATAGAATTTTATTATAAACAATTGTCTTGTAAATGGAATTTTTAAAGCATTCTGAATGTAAAAATAAAGAAAAAAATATATACAAGACAATAAAAACACTACCTGCCAAAAAAAAAAGTGAAGTTTTGTTGAAATCGGTTGAAAAATGTAGGAAATCCTATCGCATATATAAACGAATGAACACACACAAACAACCAACCTGGGTTTTATAATAAGTATAACTCGATAACTCGATATTAATAAGTATAACTCGATATGAGTTGTGCCACTTTCATTAATGCCTCTTAATCGTGTTTTAAAATTGATTTTGTGCAAAAACAATTGTGTTTTTTCTAATTTTTGGCACTGTCAGAACCACCACAAGGTAATTTTATGTCGTCCTGTGAAGTTTTGTTGAAATTGGTTGAAAAATGTAGGAAATCCGATCCAATATATAAAGACACACACACAATCTGCGTTTTATAACAAGTAAGATTTTATAAACCATATATATATATATATATATATATATATCTAACATTTTATAAACCATATATATGTATGTGTGTGTGTGTGTGATAACAATATGTAAATTTTTATATATCAAGAACAATTTTAGTGGAAAGATGATATCACAAAGTGGAAAATGTTTTGGCGTGACATGTTTCATCCATTAGGACTTCACGTTTGTTTACTTTGATGCAGCAACACGTGCATGAACGAGAGATGCTGCGAATTTTAAATTTAGAAAAATATTTTTTTTTAATGTGTTTTGAGTCAAATCGGTTTAGATTCTTTTTGTTTCCATCATCTTTGTTATTTAATATCCCACATTGTGATAAAAGAAAATCTGCCAAGTATGGTGTAACATTGTAAGAACCTGGATGTAAATTTACTGTGGCTGAACTAGCAATTAAAGCACTTTATAGACATTTTCATCTAAGTAAACTATTTCACCTTTTAATTAGAGTAGTATTTTTATGTCAAAATTGTGGCCAGTTTTGTTATGGTGATCAACTTACGTGTTTAATGTGTTGTTTTTAAAATGTCCCTTTTGTGTTCATATATTCTTATATTTGGTAGATTTATAGTCACAAATATGTACAGTCTTTCTAGATATTTTCATCTTAGTGAATTGTTTTCCCCTTTTAATTAGTCTAGCATTTTTTTTTTTAATCTTTTATTAAAACTTCTTGAGGTTTCTCCAATATATTCTTTCTGGAAATCCTTGCAGGTGACAGAGTAAATTCCTCCTTCAAGTTTTGGCTTGTTGTTTTGTTTTATATTCATGAAGTCTTTTATTGTTTTAGATGTAGTTGTGACAAATTTTATGATGAGTTTAGACAGATTCTTTTCAATTGTAGTTATGATAGAGTTAGTCGGAAGAACATTTTTTTTTTTGATTCATTGGATCGTCTGCTGCTTACAACACCGAGCAAAAGTTGTAAGTGGTGACCCAGAGACATTGGATAAAGAATTGATCAATATAAGTAGTACCCTACAATGTAACAACTACCCTGGGTACATGGCAGCAGCCCCCAAAAAACTGGGATAGGCGGGTACAAGAGGAGGACAACAACACTAAGAAAACAGTCTGCCTGCTTTATGTGAAGGGGTTATCAGAGCAAATACAAAGGATCTGTGGTCCATATAACATCAGGACTACCTTCAAAAGCTTGACGACACTTCACATATCTCTCCCGAGTAAGACCCCCCCATAGAGGTGAACATGACTAAAGACTGTGTGTACGCTATCCCATACAACTGCAGAAAGAAATATAAATGGGAGACCGGCCGCCCCCTTAAGGTAAGGCTTCAAGAACACCAGAAAGCTGTAACATGAGGGGAAGTGGGAAAAATCAGGCGTGGCTGACCATATATGGAGAGAAAAGGGAGATCACCGCCCTCTGTGGAATCAGATTGAGGTCACAGACAAAGAACACCATTGGAAAATTTGTAAACTTAAGGAATCAGCACATATGCTAGGACCCAAAAATCTCCTGAGCCGACCAAGTATAGAAATGAATACAATATGGGAACCAGTAATAAGGAGTGCCAGAGAAAAGCAATAATAACAGCAAAAATTGCAATATGAACACTGGTTAAAAAATGATGCTGAAGACATTAGGTTTATAATACCCAGAAATTCATACACAGATGTCTTCAAGGACACATGGCACAGTGGATAAAGTCGTTAGTTAGATCTAGTGACTGGACCCAAAAGAGTGTGAATTCAATACCCGGTTAAGGCAGTGGAGAACTTGGAGAGAGGAATTAACAGGAGATAACATGGCATGTGGAACTAGAAATAAAGTGAGTGAAATAAAGGTTCATTCCAACCACCTGAAGAATGGCCAAAACGTTGTAATAATGTGGACAATAGTCCGAATAATGTAAATAGTGTACATAATACCTCATCTCAGGAATATGGACAGAAATATAGACAGATACTGAAGGGCTGGAACGTTGTAATAAATATAGGCCATTTGTTTTGTATTGAACACTGAGGTTGGGGGTTGTCTTCTCATTAGTTGAAAAAGAAGTATATAGAGAGAAGTTGAGAGAGAGATCAAAAGATAGAAAAAAAGAGAAGGGTTTTAAAGGAAAGTTCAAATGGCTTATTTTAATTTGAATTCTTTTTATTCTTCCTTCTCTTTTTATTTAAAATTAAATTCTCATTAGTTGAGAGAGATAGAGAGAGAGAGATTGAGAGAGAGAGAAAGAAAGAGATAAGGTTTTAAAGGAAATTTCAAATGGCTTATTTTAATTTGAATTCTTTTTATTCTTCCTTCGCTTTTTTAAAGGGTTGGCCTCTCATTAGTTGAGAGATTTAGAGAGAGAGAAGAGAAAGAATCGTTGAAGGTTTTAAAGGAAATTTCAAATGGCTTATTTTAATTTGAATTCTTTTTATTCTTCCTTCTCTTTTTATTTAAGGGTTGGCCTCTCATTAGTTGAGAGAGATAGAGAGAGAGAGATTGAGAGAGAGAGAAAGAAAGAGATAAGGTTTTAAAGGAAATTTCAAATGGCTTATTTTAATTTGAATTCTTTTTATTCTTCCTTCTCTTTTTGTTTAAGGGTTGGCCTCTCATTAGTTGAGAGAGATAGAGAGAGAGAGATTGAGAGAGAGAGAGAGAAAGAGATAAGGTTTTAAAGGAAAGTTCAAATGGCTTATTTTAATTTGAATTCTTTTTATTCTTGTTCTTCCTCTTTTTATATGAGGGCTGCCCTCTTGTTAGTTGAGAGAGAAGTAGAGAGAGAGACAGAAAAAGAGAGAGAATTTGAGAGAGAGAGAGAGAAAGAGATAAGGTTTTAAAGGAAAGTTCAAATGCCTTATTTTAATTTGAATTCTTCTTCTTCTTCCTCTTTTTATAAACCATATATGTAACATTGCATAAAAAGCATTTAACTAAAATACGCTATTGTTATGACGAAGAGGCTGACTAAAGACAACAAAACTCAAAATGGGCTTGGAAGATTATAGAACAGTTCTCTCCCAAATATCCTCCTAACTTAGTAGATGCTGTTATTATTACAATGGTGGGACTTCTCTCTATTAATCATCTCAGAGACCCCCCTCACTGCCATCCATCAGTATGGCTGATGCTATCCTCCAGGAAGGTGTCTCATTGTACTTTCTCAGCTGACATGAGTGGAAAGACAATATTGAATCCATTGCGAGGTCAGCTGCTAAGAAAGTTGGATCACTGTGCCGAGTGAGACAATTTTTCTCTCCAGAATCTATCTTGCATATCTATAAGTCTACCATTCATCCATGCTTAGAATATTGCTGCCATATATGGTCCAGTGTCCCTGCTACTTACCTTTAGTTTCTTGATAAGATCCAAAGAAGAATCAGCAGTTACATGAAATATATCTCCCCTCCAAATACTATGTAAATTAGATTACCTTGATGAGCAACCAATTTAGGAGAAGAAAAAATATGACATCAAAACCATGGAAAAGACAATGAGAATTATAAATTTCTGGAGTGAGATGTTATCATTATTTACACTATTTACATTTGGCTTATTATCCTCATCTTTGTTGTTGTTATCACAATGTTTCGGCCATTGTACCATCTGGCCTTCATCAGGTGCATGACAATCCGGGTAACAGGAAATTTTGAACTGAACCCTTCATTTAATCTACGAGAGTAAACTGTTCTTGTTCCCCTGCCCATGTATAGGGATATCGTGTCTAGTTCTCATATTTAGTGCAAACTAACATGGTCATTTTTAAAGTTTTTGCTGACAAGAATGATGTATATAGATGTATACAAATTTGTCATTTCTTACCAGGATAACTATCAAAATCCTGTCTCCCGTTTGTCACATCTTCTGCTAAACTTGTACTGGATATTTTGCATTCGTCCAACCTAAGACAAAAAAAAAAAAAAAAAAATATTGCATATAAAAGGCAGTGTTTATACAGGGTGTCCATAAAGTTCATGTGCACTTTAAAAAAATTATAACTTTATTTGTATTTGCAATAGAAATAATCTGTAAAAAATGTTATAAAGTTTAATGTACCTAGTTTTAAGTATAGTTATTGAATAATTTCTTTATCACAAAATTTGCAAACAATTTTTAGATGAGTAAATTTGATCCATGGCTTCAACTGAAGAAAAAGTAAACTGTCTCCTTTGGTTGGCTGAACTGAAATCTACTATTGCTGTACAAAGATAGTTTAGTGTTGAATACAATAAAGAACCACCTCATAGGAACACTATTGCTAAATGGATGAAAAAATTTAAAGAGGCAGGCTCCGTCCCTGATAGGACACAGTCTGGAAGGCCATGTATCAGCAATGAAAGTGTTGCCTCCATAGAAAAATCCTTTACAGCAAGTCCAAGAAAGGGAGAGATTATAGTTGGTCCAACAAGAGAAAAGTGTATATTTTAAGGAGGAAAAAAAAGCTGCAAATGTTTTTGGCTATAATGTTGGTTTTTTTTTTTTTTATATATACCGCGTGTCCATAAAGTTCGTGTGCACTTTAAAAAAATTATAACTTTATTTGTATTTGCGATAGAAATAATCTGTAAAAAATGTTATAAAGTTTAATGTACCTAGTTTTAAAGTATAGTTATTAAAATTCTTTTACCATGTGATTTGCAACTATTTCTAAATAAGTAAAAAAATATTTTCTTTTTTTTTTCATTACAGCCCTTTTGTATTACACATAGGACAATATGGAGGACATATGGAAACTTAAATAAAATTTCAATAAAACCTTAAAAAATATGGATTTACTTCTTTCTAATCCTTTTTACAAATTGTTTCTATCACAAATACAAATAAAGTTATAAATTTTTTAAAGTGCACACGAACTTTATGGACACCCTGTATGTATGTATATATATATATATAATTATAAATTAATTGATTTAAAATATGGTTTTTATTGCAAAAAAATAACCATATTTTAAATCAATTAATTTATAATATTAATTGCTATATCAATTTACATTGAGCACTATTTTGTAAAAAAAAAATATCTATAAGAACAAAAGATTTTATATCTTACTGTTCTTTTTTTTTTTTTTTATATATATATATATATATATATATATATATATATATATATATATATATATATACACACACACACATGCACATATACATAACTTAATATAAAAATAACAAAAATGAGAGAATCCACAGTAAATTGCTGAAACCTCCTGACAAGTAGACAGAATGATTAGAAAATGAGGTGGTGAATATAACATCAGTCAGCTAAGTGACAAATTTTGTATTAATCCTGTACATACAGTGTGATGCAGATAAATACGGAATTTTATATAGCAACAGCACCATGATGTTACAATGCAGCAAGGTTTCAAGAGTGCCATTATGAAGTACTACATCTTCAGAATACAATTGTTGAGCTGCTGTTATAGAGAGCCTTCATGCTGGCCACAAAGCCAAGGAAATCATTGAATGGTTTAAATATACTAAAAACATGGTCTATGCAAAGGCATACAAGGTCTCAGTCAAGAAGTATACTTTCAGGCCAGAACGCAAGACTCATAAGAAATGCTCTGGCACCATCAGGATGCTAGAGTCTGTCATCAACACTGCCAAGGTTAATGAGAGGCCCAACATCTTTCAATAGGACTCTGCACCCACCCACAAGGCTCTTTGTCAATGTACCATATCACTGGTCACTCGACTTATGGAGCCTCATTGCTAAAGTGCAATCCTCTTGACTATTTTATGTGGGGCATCATGGAGAGGTAAGTGAACAGCAGACCCTACAACACCAAGGAGGCTTCCAAAGCAAGCATCAGGAATGCCATGACCAACTTAGACAGAGATGCTGTCCAGCTTCCAGTCCTGCCAGGAGAAAGATGGTGGCCACATCAAGTGTTTTTTGTACCTTATGTAGGTGGCTGTGTATGAAGTTTCACTGAAATATATTAATTTGTTATTTAAAAAACGGTTTTGTTATCCATTAATTTTTCCATATTTATCTGTTCCACACACACTGTGGGTGTGTGTGTGTACGTATATATATATATATATATATATATTCATACATGTTTCATTAAGAAACAAACTATCATCACATTCTTGTCCGTGTATTGCTTAATATATTGTACTGTAATTGTCATCTTTGATAATGGCTTATGTAAGCCGAAAGCTTAGATAAGATTAAAAAATATGTATCAATATTGTGATTTTCTTTCTTCGTTTAATGACAATGTTATTAAGCTTATCAGACGTTATGAAAAGAATTTACATAAAATAAATAGACAACACTTGTCTATATTATTTAATGAAACATGTATGAATGAAAAAATGCTGCCTACATACACACAATATATATATATATATATATATATATATATCAATGTAAAATATGAAAAATATAAACTGAGCAATATACAAAAATACAATATATAAAAGTAATTTTTTTTAATCATTTTTAGCAAATAACAAAGCCACTGAGACACATGGCCTCACTGAAATAAAAGAATAAGAAAAAGAAAAATATTATCAAGAAGCAAGAAGACAAAATATAACGATTGACGTTGTATTTAAATTTTTGGAAATCAAAGTTGACTGGAAAGCAAGAATCTGGAAGAGGGTACCACAAGAAATACGTGTGAGAAAAGAAACTGTTAGCATAAGACTGACAGTTCTATGTAACCAATTCAACTGTAAAATGAAACCTTGACGCCAATCTAGAACTGTGCTCAAATTCATAAAGTCTCGGTACCATAGTGAAGAGCACATCTGGACACTTACCATGAAAGTATTTATAGAAAAGGCACAGGGAAGCTATGTTACAGTAGTGGGAAAGTCACTGAAGCCGAGATAAGACAGATACTGGGAAAAATAAACCCCAATGTGTACCATAGTGGAGAGCTCATCTGAACAATTACCATGAAAGTGTTTCTAGAAGAAGCACAGGGAAACTATGTTACAGTGGTGGGAAAATGAAGTCAGGAAATGTAGACATATAACATATTCTTCTTTGGATTAAAGAATCTTTAAATATGCAGCAGGAGCCCCAGACCAAATGTGGTAGCAATATTCAAAGCATGGATGAATGGTAGAATTATGAATATGTAAGATAGATTCTGGAGAAAAAAAAATTGTTTCATAACAGCAGACCTTGCAAATGATTCAATATAATCTTTCCACTTCATGCCTGAGAAGATGCAAAGAGTCACTCTCATGGCGGTTAGCATCAGCCATACTGATGAAAAGCAGAAAGGAGTCTTTTAGGTAATGTTTTCGAGGCCTTAAAATTAACAAGCCATTCCTTGCACCAGTTAACAGCAGATTTTAAGTCACTTTTGAGACCAGCTGCAATTTCAACCTTATTGAACTGTTCAGACTTTCATCGTATTTCATGTTTTGTCGTTTCATGTGGATGTGCAGTTAATATATGCAGGTGCACAATGCTAAAGATTCCACTCACCGATGCAAGACACGTTGTTATATAGGAATAAAGTGTCACTGCCAACACTTGAGTTTGAACATAGATCGCCATTATTGAATTAAGTAGACCATGTGACTATAGGGGAAACGTCACCACTCCCTTCCATCATAGAATTGTGGTTGTTATATAGGAATAAAATGTCACTGCTGACACTTGAGTTTGAACATAGATTGCCAGTGAACAAACACAGGTGATCCCATAATTGAATTAAGTAGACCACGTGACCATAGAGGAAGTGCATAAGTAGGAATTAGTTTTGCGTCGAATTTATCTGCATTTCTAGTCTATTCTTTATTACTATTTGGATCACCATTCCAAGTCTATCCTCTATACTACACAGACCGCTATTCTCTACTCTATTCACTATGCTATTTCTCTTTTTGGATCACTATACCGATTACTATTCGAGCAAGTATTATTGAGCAAGTACTATTAGTGTGAGTGATATTGAAAGGTGTCTGACACTAGTATTGTTCCTCAGCATACTATAGTTGTATCTGTGATTACAAAGTCTCTACTACAGCAAGCATCACAAAAGTGACAAAGAGTATTCGTTAGCATCACGAAACAAGTGAAGAAGAAAAACTACAAAATTAGCTGTGACGAATTTATTTATTCTTCACTGAAATATAATATCTTGAATTGTAACTACTGTTTACATTCAGTGTATGGTAACTGGGATAAGCAACTATATCTTGTGCCATAGCAACAAGGAAGTGATTAAACAACCAGAGTCATCACTTCCAATTCCTGCTGCTTTACCATGAATGGCAACCTGAAGTTACCACAGAACTAATTATTAATCCTAAGATAGAATGCATAGTTGTCAGCAAGAGGGAGAGCCCAAAATCTGATCTTCAAATTGCAGCCAACAGAATCAAGCTGGTACCAAAAAATTTACTATCTGGTTAGCATAGCAGACAAACAGAAAACATGACACAGAATTGCAAAGATCCATCAGAGTTGCAAAAACCCATTCTGGAAACTAAGCAAAGAGCAAAGATTTCTATGTATGTTTGTTTAATGGCATATCAACTCCTTAATGGGTCATTTAATGCTGAAATTTAATTTCTGGGAGAGTTTTGAAGTACTAAAAATATGTTATTCTGCTTTCACGTGGTAGATGATACTCAGCTTTTGTGTATCTAAACGTTTGTGTGGAGGTGATTACGAGAGGCAGTGATGTGTATGTTTCATGTTGTAGTTTTGTTGAAGTTGTATTTTGGAATCCAGTTTAATTTCTTTAAGAAATTGTCAGATATTATATGGATTAATAATATGAAATAGTTCTTTCAAGTCAGTTGGTTTGTTAGTGGCATATCAACTTGTAGAGGTTATTTTATGCCGGAATCTAAATATTTTGAACAATTTTTATAACTTCAACTAAATATATTTTAAACATAATTGTACGCCTTCAGTGACATAAAATGTATTGTTGGTCATTCTACAATATGCTATCACAGTGTTTCATTTTTGATTTCACTATTTACCCATAGCTGGGGGCCTAACAGGTGCTACCACCCCAGGTCAGGGTGGACCTGGAAATAACATCAATTAAGAGATTGTTCCACACTCCTCAAAAACTCCAATCTCCCAATCAGAGGACTTACTGCTGGATATAGTTTATCATCATACAAAGACTTTGAAGCAAAGAAAAGATATCTATTCTAGATGGCAGTGAATACTGGACAATTTTCTCACAGATGAAGAAATGACATGAAGCAACAGATGCAATTTTTATCAACAAATGCTTCAAATATGATGGACAGAACATGAGAGCAACAATGACATTTTAAGAAAAACAGGCCCTATGCAGAAAATGACACTAACAACCAGAATAAAACGGTTTAAATTTCTAGGATACATAATGCAGAAAGTTGGCCTAGAGATCTTAACATTCACAGGATATGTTGAAGGTAAGAGATGCAGAGGGAAAAAGGTTAAAACCCTGTGGGATTACCCCACTTGTCTGCCAAAGAACTTCTATTAACAACCACAAGATTGTATTTCCAAAGTAGTATAAAAAAGTGGGAGGGTGTATTGTTATAGTGCAACACACCTATTCTATAGTTAATAGACCCTCCCACCTATAATAAGTAGGAGGAGTAGGAGTTGCTCAGTGGGTCGGTCAGTCAGTCGATGCCGGATGACCATTAGTCGGATACTAAAGTATCAGCGACCACAACTAGATTACTCTGCGTCATTACCTATTATATCAAGTTCCTAACATTTTGTACGTCGAACCTATTTTAGGACCGACTTAGTACAAATACAAGCCTCCACTGTGAAACCACTCCATAACATGTTTAAATCTCACTATTTATTCTATTTGTTCAAGGAAGTATTAAAGAAAATAGAAAAGGTTTACTATCAAAAAAAGACAGTCAAAATTTCTGAGATAATGAGGAAAGAGGGCCTAGAGAATTTAACACTCACTTGATATACTGAAGGCAAGAGAAGCTTTAAGAAAAGAATGCATAAACTATGGGGTGCAAAATTAATTTTAACTTTGAACTAAGGGTGAGGGCTAAGGTTAGGCTTAGGTTTTTTAAATTGAGCTGAAATTAGTTTTGTCACTTGACCTAATGTGTTTGTGTTAACAGACAGCAGAACAGGGTCAAAGAGTGATGGTAACAAATCAAAGATTGCTTAGTGGAACAACAAAGAGGAAGTTGTGGTGGACCATGATTACCAAGGTCCTGAATGAACTTGGAGCATAAAAAAAAAATAAGAAAGAATTACAGCACATGTGAAATTTAATTCCTTGGGTATTCACATGCGAGTCTTTAAATATTTTTTCCCTCACTTATACTCTGGGGTTTTTCATCTCCCAGCTTTGTAAATATCTTGAAACAGTTTGCCATATTCATGCATGCGTTGCCAGTGGAACGAAGGAGGTAACTCAAAAAAGGCTTTTATAAAAAAAAAAAAAAAATTGTTTATTACTGCCACATTTGGTCTTGTGCCTTTTTTAAATAGTTTCATACCATGCAAATTAACAAGCCATCTTTTGCCCCAGTTAACAACGGACTTGAGATTGTTTTGGACATCAGCTGACATTTTGACATGTCAGATTGATCAGCTTTACTTATCAAAGCAGGAGTCAATGGTTGTGTCATCAGCATAGCTACCAAGTTCAGAGCTGATGTCATCGGGAAGGTCGTTAGTAGGACCAACGAAGACGTTTTTTGGGGCGGGGGACACCCACGTTAGTATGAAAAGATCTAGAAGAGTGGCCATTCAGGATGACATTCATTTCACAATTTGATAGGAAAGATTGGATGAATTCAAAAATGTGTCCAGAGACACCAGAACTTTTCAGCTTGTGGAGAAGACCTGAATGCCAGACCCTGGCAAAAACTTTGGAGATGCCCAAAGTTAGAGCCCAGTCTTCACTGTTTTTTTCTAGAGCATGATAGACTCTTTCCGCAATTATCGTGAGTACATCAGAAGATGAGATGGAGAAATGATAGCCATATTGCTTGTCTGAAAAAAAGATGTATTTAAAAATTCTTGACAAAATCCATAGAAGAATCAGCAACGTTGTCGGTCCTGACCTGGCATCTTAGCTTCCGTCACTTTCCCACTGTCATACCATAATTTCTCTATGGTTTTCAATATTTTCATGCTAATTGTTCTGATGAGCTTTCCTCTTTGGTACCTAGACTTTATGAATTTAAGCCATAATATTGCTTCCCTCTGTCTTTTCTATAAATATTTTCATGCTAATTGTTCTGATGAGCTTTCCTCTTTGGTACCTAGACTTTATGAATTTAAGCCATAATATAGCTTCCCTCTTCCTTTTCTATAAATATTTTCATGGTAATTGTTCTGATGAGCTTTCCTCTTTGGTACCTAGACTTTATGAATTTAAGAGCAGTACTAAATTGGTGGCTAGGTCTCATCATTTTAGTCAAGTTTGATTTTCAACAATTAAATGCAATTTACTAATCTTTACTAAGAGCTACAAGAGACAAGAAGTCGTGGAGGACAATAATCACTTGTGTCCTAAAAAGACATAGCACATAGAAAATCCATCCGCCCTTCAAAGATTCCTCAGCAACCTTCGATGTAGATCTACCAGCTTTCCTTTTAACTAATCCAACTATCCCAATGCATTCTAAAGTTGGCACATATGGAAAATTTTGACAGAATAATTTTGTATAACATCAAGAAACAATTTTGTATTGATAATTATGAAGAAGACTACCATTCCAAAATGTTAAAAGCTTGATATTTTTCAATTCATCCAAGTTTCACAGCCTAAGAAAGATTGAAAAATGCTAATCTACAAAAATTAATTCCAAGAAAAACTTTCCTTTTTTTTTTCTACCCATCTATTTAACTAGTTTGACCACCAAAATATGTAACTTTTATAAACATACAACCCTAGATTAATATGCAAAAAACAGAATATAACATTAAAGGTTGATTACTCTTAAGCCCACCAATCACGCTTTCTGCATACAGAGAGATGACTGGTAGGACTTAATTTAACCCAATTCCAAAACTTTCAAGTGATAACCTGGGCAGTAAGACTGAGCACATGGTTGAATTTTAATCAAATGTTCAGCTGTTGCTGAACCAGTTTATCAATCCTCTCTCATCAAAGCCAAATTCGAGGACGAAAAATGTGCACAGTGACTAAATATGTTCAATCTGAGACTAATGTTATATGCAAACAACAAAATATAACATTAAAGTTTAATTACCTTCAAGACCACCAACCATTCTTTCTGCCTACAGAGAGATGGCTGGTAAGACTTAATGTACACCGACTCCAAACTCCAAAAACCTTCAAGTGATAATCAGCGTTTGTTCTACTTTTATAACATTTAGAATGAATAGCAATAAAACTTCATTTACCTGACATAAAAGTAATTGCCAAGTCCATCTTTCATGACAAACATGTTCTTTCGGTTGTTCACAGATAACTTGGACAGCACAGAACGCAAAGCTTGCATACCTTATAAAGAATAGATAAAATTAATGTAGATATCTTTAACAGTTTAAAAATTTCTCATCATAATGAACATTTAACTTCAATAAGTGCAAATAAAATACATATATGTGAAAATTTCTTCACTAAATACAGAATCTCAAAAGTTACCCAAAATGTAACAAAGTACCAGTTTACATAAATAGTATCACAGGAACTATTTCTTTAAAAAATATAGCAGAACATTTACATGTTAGGACATAAAAGTGACAGCAATTTCAAGATATTTTTTATGTAAAAATATTAGCAAAATATATTATTATGGAAATATATTGTAAATTATTTTAAAATATAGAAATAAATTAACACTTGAATGAAAAGAAGATACAGAAGTAAAATAAACTAAACTGATTTTATGATATAAAAATATTGAAAAATAATCATCTGAGGAACATTGTACGATTATTTCATATAATCATTCCTGCATTAGTTAATTAACAGTAACAAAACAAACATTAAAGTATATACAGAAATGTACAATTATGAGTTTACAATAAAATTGATTATATTCCAAAAGAATTTAATATGAAAATGCATTGGCCAATGATTTTTACGATGAAAATGCATTGGAAATGATTTTTACGATGAAAATGCATTGGCCAATGATTTTTTGCGATGAAAATGCATTGGCCAATGATTTTTTACTATGAAAATGCATTGGCCAATGATTTTTTACTATGAAAATGCATTGGAAATGATTTTTACTGTGAAAACGCATTGGCCAATGATTTTTAATGTGAAAACACATTGGCCAATGTTTTTCGATGAAAAATTAGACTAAATGATTTTTTAACATGAAAATGCATTGGAAACATTTTTTACTGTGAAAATGCAATGGCCAATGATTTTTTGAAATAAAAAACTTGTTAAATGATTTTAATGTGAAAAAATTGGCCAATTTTTTTATTTGATGAAAATATTGAAATGATTTTTACTATGAAAATGCATTGGAAATGATTTTTTACCATGAAAATGCATTGGAAATGATTTTTTACTATGAAAATGCATTGGAAATGATTTTTTACTATGAAAATGCATTGGAAACGATTTTTACTGTGAAAACGCAATGGCCAATGATTTTTACTGTGAAAACGCAATGGCCAATGATTTTTACTGTGAAAACACATTGGCCAATGTTTTTTTACTATGAAAATACATTGGACATGATTCTATTATGACAATACTTTGGCATTTTTTAATACTGTAATCTGAAAAATTTAATTCATGGCATATGCTAAAATCATGTATCGAAAGTCCTCATATACCCATATTTTTGTTGTCCATTTAGTATATTAGCACATAATGTGGACATAATATAAATTGAAAATGTTTGTTATTTAGTATTTTTTGCTAGAATTCTTTTATTAATTTAAATTTCATGTCGGCAGTGTAGAAAACTACCATTTTACTCCCATCTCTCAAAGAAGAATTTATAATAACCCACTCTTTCCAAGTTGTCATGAAAAACTAATAATTAACATCATTATACTAATTCTAAGTTAAACCTTAGATGTCAATATATATATCTTTTTTTATCATAAAATACACCTGGCTGTTAACTTTTTACAATTTAAGATTTACTTACCTGAATACATTAAAATGGCGTTTTTGCAGTTCTTGAATATTAGGATGTAACGCAAATATATTTTCCATATACATTTGCATACAAAAAATATCCAGGTAGGAAATTCAGTGTCATTAAAATATTATAAGTCTTTTGTTCATCATCATCATCCTCATCTTCACCATCTTAAAAAAAAAAAAATTTATATATATATATATATATATATATATATATATATAAATATATATATATATATATATATATATAACAAATATATATTGTATATACCCCTAATTTCTGATTTTATTAAAATGAATTAGTTTTGAAAAAAAATGATTTTTTTAATTGGAGATTTTAAAAGAATATCAAAGTCAGATTTTCATCTTTTTTATAAATAATAAAGAGGTAATTATACAAAGAATTAATTAGCAATGTTAATGTAATTAATGGCAAAATATTTTCATTAACAAGATTTAATAAGGTATTAACTTACTAATAATTCATTGAATAATGCAATTCTTGAGTTTACATTCTTGTCATATAGATGTCGCTAGGCTGAATATTTTCGAAAATTTCACATTCTCATCCTCAGGGCATAATTTCTCCATTCCAGGCAAACTCCAAGATGAAAGAAATGCATTGCTTACCAAAAGATGTTTTTTAAAAATATGTTATTTACTGACATTTACATAGGTAACTCCACGAAATCGCTAAAAAAAGAGAGCACAGTCTGATGAAAAAGACGCCAAACTTTATGAAAACAAAATTTTATCGTCAAAATGCTTATGTTTTTATGAAGAGGATAGACCAAATTTTTTTTTTAATTATTTTTTAAAATTTTTCCATCTTTTTAGAATATTCTAAATTTTGATTTAAAAAACCTTTTTTCTCTTTGTCGCAACAAGGGGTAGTAAAATAACATAGATAATTTTTAGCACGTTTTTTTTTTATTTACACACATTAATTTGGAAAATCTTGCAAAAATAAAAAAATAATTGTCAGATGTTAATGAAACTTTCAGAAACTATTCACAGATGATCGAAATTATTATAAATATGTTTTTTTTTATTAAAGTCATGGCAGAAATATTTTTTTTTTTATATTTATTAAACACCCCCATAACTAATTTTATGAAAAACTCTAGAAATTCGAGACCATCAGTTTTAGTGATTACAATAGTTAAAAGCACAAGGCTTTGAAGAATGCAAATCATGTTTTTTTTTTTTTTTTTTTTTTTTTTTTTTTTCAGTACCTGAAAATCAGCTGTGAATTGTAACATACAAAACTCAATAAAACAAATATATTATTTAATTTCAAATGCTTTTATTTGTTTTAATTTGTTTTTATGAATATGGACAATATTTTCTGAAAAGCAAAAAATTTTTTCAATGAAAATTGAATTTTTAATACAATTATTTGTTATTTCTTTAATTTTAATAGATTTTTTTAAATTTTTAAATTTTTTTTTAAAAATATTATAACATTAGTTAAAAAGCAACATCAACCTTTCAAAATGTCCTTATGAGATTGTCTAGCGCTTTGAAAATTGTATCATTTGGACCAATCAGATTAGATCCGCAGTAATTAAGAAATGTAATTTTGTGTTTATAATCAGACAGTAATTATAAAGTACGGAAGACCAACCAGAATACAATTTAGTTGCATTATTTGAGTTCAGCATTGTTCTCCGCTGTTAAGGCCTTTACTTTTGCGAAACACGTATGGAGAAGTTAATTTGATTTTTCAATTTCAACTGAGATGGGTACCTATAAATATCAGTATCATCTTATGAAATTTAACTACTGCTAAACTTTAATTTATATGATCTTATTTGTATATTAATCTCAGTTATGACATTTTACCATAAATGAAATATCAGAATTAATAATAAAGTGAATGGAAATACAAATAACACAGTAAAATGTAATAAATGTACATAAAATTATAGTATTTTATGTACACTTCTGATAAAATTTCATTAGAAAGGTACCTAAATTAATTAGATAACTTTTTCTTATGAAATTTAATCTCACTCTTAACAGTCTTATTTTTTAATTTCTTCATATTTTCCATAAAGCATCGTAAACGTAAAAATGAAAGCTAAGTACAAAAAAAAAAAAAATTAAAAAAAAAAATTAGAGCGCTGAAAGTTTTCCTTAAAAGTAACGAGGTAAATAATTTGTTCACTTAAATAAATTTTCACTTCCTTCCATCCGTAGAAAGAATTATCCTCCCGTAAGTTATCTAAACATCATGAAAAATGTCTTTTTATCAATTGTCAAATGACGTGAAAGGTTATGACCTGCTTTGTTTTATTTTCAAATTACATTTTTTTTCACAGAAGCTAAGTTAAGCTTGGTTCAAAATATTTTAAATACACATTATAATTTCTGATTTTATTAAAATGAGTTTTGAAAAAATGATAATTGATTTTTAAAAGAATATCAAAGTCAGATTTTCATCTTTTTTTATACAATGGAAAGAAAATGATTGATTATCTGTCCTTTTTTTTTTTTTGAAAAAATAAATTTTTTAACGAAAATTTCAGACGTGCTAGGAACGATTAAAAATGTAAAAAAATACCCCCAAAATACTTTGATCTTTCCTCTTTAATAATAATATGAACATTAGACGATAAAAACTTGTTTTCGTCAAGTTCGACGTCTTTTTCATCATGCTATGCTCTTTTTGTTTACATTTCATGGAGGTACCTACATTTACATAACTTTGGAATGTGCAGTGTTGCAACACTAGAGTTATTATTTAAATATTTCAAGTGAGAATTTTTGTTTGAATTTAGTTATGTGGTAAATCCATAAATGTTTTTGTTGTATGTGTTTTTCAGTTAAAGTGACATGGACTAAAATTATAGTCCAAATAATAGAGTAAAAAGTCTTAGTAGTTTTTTTCTTTCACAGAATTTTGCATAGTAAGTTAATGCCTTATTAAGTCTTGTTAGTGAAGAGATTTCACCATTAATTACATTAACATTGCTAATTCTTTTTATAATTACTTCTTTATAATATATATACTGCACAATGTAATATAGATAAAACATAGCTGCCCCTTAATGACTTTTGTGATGTCAACGAACACTTGTTGCCACTTTTGTAATGCCAATAAATACTCTTTGTCACTTTCATAAGGCTCATTGTAGTAGAGACTTTGTAATTGCAGATACAACTATAGTATGCTGTTGTACAATGCTGGTGTCAGACGCCTTCAAATAGCACTTGTACGGACAGTACTTGCTTGATAATACTCGCTCGACAATAATCCATATAGTGAACTGAATAGAGAAATAGTATAGTGAATAGAGTAGAGAACAGCAGTCCGTATAGTAATAGAGGGTAGAATAGAAACGGTGATCCAAATAGTAATAGAGGATAGAACAGAAATGTTAATCCGTATAGTAACAGAGGATAGAACAGAAATTTTGATCTGTATAGTAAAAAAAGGATAGAATAAAATGGTGATCCATTATAGTAAATTCAGGATAGAATAGACATGGTGATCCGTTATAGTAATAGAGGATAGAATAGAAATGGTGATCCGTTATAGTAATAGAGGATAGAATAGAAATGGTGATCTGTATAGTAATAGAGGATAGAATAGAAATGGTCATCTGTATAGTAATAGAGAATAGAATAGAAATGGTGATCTGTATAGTAATAGAGAATAGAATAGAAATGGTCATCTGTATAGTAATAGAGAATAGAATAGAAATGGTCATCTGTATAGTAATAGAGAATAGAATAGAAATGGTCATCTGTATAGTAATAGAGGATAGAATAGAAATGGTGATCCATATAGTAATAGAGAATAGAATAGAAATGGTCATCAGTATAGTAATAGAGAATAGAATAGAAATGGTGATCCGTATAGTAATAGAGGATAGAATAGAAATGGTGATCCGTATAGTAATAGAGGATAGAATAGAAATGGTGATCCGTATAGTAATAGAGGATAGAATAGAAATGGTGATCCGTAACCGTAATAGAGGATAGAACCCCCATGGTGATCTGTATAGTAATAGAGGATAGAGTAGAAATAGCGATCATTTAGACCTCATGCTACTACTTATGCATTTCTCCCATGGTCACATGATCTACTTAATTTAATAATGGGATCGCCTGTGTTTGCTCATTGGCTCTCTATGTTCAAACTTAAGTGTTGGCAGCGACACTTTATCCCTATATAACAATGACAATGTGTATAACACTGTACTTGGAGCTACTTTAAAGTTAGGTATGGATGACCATTCTTGAAAGAAAGGAGTATGCTGTTTTTTATAGAATTAAGTTAAAATAATAGAGAGAACCAACAGAGTGAGAGGCTGAAAGAAAGCAGGAGCATATTGAAACCAAATGTATATAGCTTACAGCCATATCATGTTAAATACTGGATCCTGTAAGATCACTGAAGTTAAGCAACATTAAGCCAGGTCAGTACCTAGATGAATGACCATTTAGGAATACCAGATGCAGTAAGCTTTGATATGTATTTGCTGTAATGGATAATGGCTCGGAATTATCAGTTGGATAGTCAAGTTCCAATTCTATTTGGGTTTGTTATATTCACTTACGCACAAATACCCTTGGGAAAGGAAGGAATCCACCTCTTTTCCCTCCAGCTATGGGTTAATTAGTAATACTTATATTACAAAAACCATAATTATCTTGAAAATAAAAATTGCCATTAAAATATTTAAATTTTTTGGAATTAAAATAACTCATTTTAAACAAAAACAACCAATGATGTATATAATATCCTGTTGTGAATTTGCCAACTGCACTGGTCCCAAAAGGAGTATTTATCAAATAAATGCATATAGAATCAACTATAAATGACTAATACAAGTATTTGCCTATTTCAAAACCAAATAAATGCTTATAGAATTATATAACAAGTATTGTGTTAAAAAAATTTTAAAAAATAGTTTGGCTTGGTTTGTTTTACGGTATATCAACCTCAATGGGTTATTTAATGCCGACAACTTTTTTCCTGGTAATATTTTGTTTTGTCAAAAATGTATAGGTAGTAATATTATTTTCCTCAAAAATGTATAGATAGTAATATTTTTTTTAAAAATGTATTGCTGGTAATAGTTTTTTTTCAAAAACATATTGCTGGCAATTATTTTTTTAAAAATATATTGCTGGTCATAGTTTTTTCTTTGAAAAATTTATTTCTGGAAATAATTTTTTAGAAAGTATTTCTGGTATGTATTAAAACCTATTTTTACACTATCATAAGGATTTTTACCTCAGTTTTGGGGGTTAACTATTTGCCCGTAGCTGGGACCCTAACAGGTGTTAACCACCCTGGGTCAGGATGGACCTGGGAACCCCAGCAATTAAGAGTTGGTTCCACACTCCTCAAAACCTCTTGATCAGAGGCCTTGCTGTTGGACGTAGTTTATCGTCATACCCAGGACAGTTTTTAAAAATGGTCAATATTTCTAGATGATAACAGTTTTATATCAAGTAATTTCTTAAGTATTCATTAAGAAATAGAGCAATAAAAACCAAATGTTCAAAACTTATCTTCCTGATTCCGAGTTCTGCAGATGGTATCTACTCATCAAGAAGTTAAAAAATTAAATAGTTAAATTGGTATCTGTTGCTAACAAATTTAATTTACCATATATACTTGTGTATAAGCCGATTTCATGTATAATATGATCCCTGAATTTCTTGCATAAATTTTAACCAATCCAGAAAAGCTTTACTTGAGTACAGTGGAACCATTCACCAAAAACGCATGAATTTTAATCTCTTCAAAAAAAATTACCTTTGTATAGTGCAACCCTTATTTTTTGCATAAACAACTGATCATAAAAACTCTGATTACATTCAAGTATATACGATATTTAACTCTACAGTTAGTGGATAACATCTGCAAAACTAAGACAGGAAGATGAGTTTTGAACATTTTATTAAGAATTATTTCATTTATTATTTTTCTATCAAGATAAGTAAAAACTTAAAATTCTTGAAGCCCTTTATATAGGAGAATTGAAGCCAAAAATGAATAACGTCAACTAAAAGTATAGCAACAAAGTTCTTAAATGTTTGTAGCTGCAAAATGTTATATAAAAAAAAACACTAAATTCAAATATTACAATTAAAAAAATCTTTTAAAAAAAATTACAAAAAATCTTATTAAAAAAAATATCACAAAATTGCAAAATGGTGAAAAAATATTTTTAATTTATGGTGTTAACACATAACACATGCAACCCCTGAAGATGGTCTCAGATGAAATTGAAAGTACTTGGGAAAATAAAAATTATTTGAAAAAAAAATTTTGGTATTTTCTTGATCAATTTATTATAGCCACAAAGAAATTAATTTATGGACTAGAAAGGATTAAAACATGTAAATTATTTAGCCAAACATACATACATACATTATATATATATATATATATATATATATATAAATAAACTCTCCCGTCGAATTCGATGTATGAGGGTCAAGCAGATCAGTTCCTAGGAAGCTGACAGCCCAACACCAGCACATGAGATTTGAGATTTGATTATAGTGGTGAAGGTTTTGTGCAGAACCATTCACACTTTTTGAAGGACCAAATACAGAGACTTGGTGCTCTACGTGCCACAGGATCCCCAAACGATCTTCTTCAGATTTTGAATTCAGAGTTGTCCTTCTCCTAGATATGTTGCCATCCATGGCTATAGAACCTGCTATTTACCCATGGCTGGATTTAAAGAAGAAGATTTTTTTACCTTTCCCAAGAGTATTAAAAAAATAGAAGTGAATGTAATGGATTTGACTGGAATTCGAACTCGTTTTCCAGGTTCCTCAATCCAAGCTGCTATCCATTACAACACCGTGCATGTGAGTATGAATATTTTTTTTTTTTATATTATATATATATATATATATATATATATATATATATATATATATATAAGAAATCTTCAACCCCATTAAAACTGTTGGTATGATGTTTGCTTGACAACCTAACTGTCAGGGTTTCAATTCTCAGTAGTGGATGTGCACTGCTGATGAGTCCCAAATATAGGATGAAACGGCCGTCCAGTGCTTTCTGTTGAGGTTTCTATCAGACTCGATGAATTAATTATATATATATATATATATACACACACACACACATTAATGGATAATAAAAATAGAATTTTTTATATAACAAATAAATATATTTCAACCAAACTTTATATACAGTTAGACACATATATAAGGTATAAAATCCTACAAAAGAAAACTACTTTCATTTAATTATCGTGCAGAAACTTTTCTGCCTGCCATCAGCATGGCTGATGCTAACCTCCAGGAGAGTAACTTCATATTTCATTGGTGAGATGTAAGTTCTGCTTGAGCAGCTTCTACCCATGAACCACTGCTTTGTGGAACTGACTCCCAAGATGCTTTTCTCAATCACTATAATCTTAACCTGTTCAAGTCTAGGGTTAACCATTATCTTCTTTGCATAGTACCATAAACTTTGCCTCTTACTTTGTAACCCTCTACCTTGAGTGACACTTGGGACTTTGTACAGGGCGAAAAAAAACAAACAAACAAACACATCTTACCTGTTGGAACAGTATATCTGTCTTTTGTCCAGCATATGTCCTCATCAGCTTCAGGAACCAGCAGGACATTACACATTCGCATTGTGAAAAGGTCTTGTAACAAAAACAGCTGTAATACAATGAAGAATTAAGAGGATTTTCTATTTTATGATGTTCACTGGACAAAATTTTCTTAAATGCACAAAACTGTAAAACATAGGGAATTATTTAAATTTAATTCTACATTTATAGAAAACTAGCAGGCTTTGTCTGCTTGCTATCACCTTGTAAAGTAAGATAGGCTGTATAGCCTGTGCTTGGGATAGTTTTATGCACCACCACAAGATGCTACAAAACCAAAATATCAACCTAACTACTCATGTTACATTCTTAAATAGCGCGTGTTTTTAGTTATCTCATATGAATGTCAAGCAAATGAATCCTGTAGGTCTTAGAGAGGACCATCCATCATCAGATCCGTGCTACAAAATCACAAAGAACTTTACCAAACAACAAAGACTTCCAACAGTAGCAACAACTAAAATGGATAACACATGCAAGTAGAAGGGAAAATGATATAATTTAAATGTTAACTTTCCACACTACCTTATACAAAAGGTTAGGAAGGAAACTCTCATCAATACGAAAAAGAGCAATCAGAGTGGATTTGAGAAATCTAATTGTCAGGAAAACTGACTTAAGAAAATCTTTTATAAATTTCAACTGATAGCTATAATCATACTTATTATAAAACCCAGGTTGTGTGTGTGTGTGTGTCTGTATGCTTATATATTGGACCGGTTTTCCAACATTTTTCAACCGATTTCAATAAAACTTCACAGGACTACATAAAATTATTACATTGCGGTGGTTCTGACAGCGTCAAAATTGGAAAAACAATTGTTTTTGCATCGTCAAAATCAATTTGAAAAACACGATTAAGAGGCATCGAAATGAGAATGAAAGGGGACAACTCATATCGAGTTTATAAACCCAGGTTGTTGTTTGTGTGTGTGTGTGTGTGTGTTCATTTATATATGGGATTTTTCTTTTCAACTAAAACTTTTTTTTTTTTTGGTAGGTAGTGTTTCTTATTGTCTTGCACACTTTTTTTTTTATTTTTACATTCAGAATGCTTTAAAAATTCCATTTACAAGACAATTGTTTATGATAAAATTGTATTCAATCAGTAGACTCATAACGATTGAAAAAAATGTTTTTGTTTGAGTTTGGGTTTGACCAATTCGTAAAAAAAAAAAAAAAAAAAAAACTAATTAAGACATGCGTGTCCGTCAACCTTAAACAATAATCTTTGTCAATTTTATTTTTCAGTCTTTATGATGGTCGATACTTGATCTATCTCTTACTGTTACATCCCCTAAAAAACCCTTTTTTCTTTATGAACATAAAACTGGTCCCTTTCTTTCTTTAAATGAATAAACAAATCAATCTATACATTGTGTTTTCACTGTTGGGTGCTATAATTTAAATGTTAACTTAATGAAAATGAAACTTTGTATATAGATCCTACAAAACAAATTCCCAGGCTAAAAAGATGAGCTAAGAGATGGGAAGACCAAATCAGAGAGGACACCAGAATACCACTTCAGACTTGGACAGGAAGAAATGGCAAATGTGTGTGGACAAGAAGTGTGCAAACATCTCATAGAGATTATGCAAATAACCTAACTTAATTTCAAAATTTTACTATGATATAAAGTGAAGAACAGAACTTGCCTCAACTGCTTTTTGAACACTGAAAAAAAAGAAAAATCTCTATTGCTCTGATCGTCCTTATAGCAATTTATACCTACGTAAGCTGGACACTGAAGAAGAGAACAGACAAAGGCTCATATTCTTCCTAAACAACTGTCTCAGAGTCATGACAGGGAAAAATACCAGAGACAGAATAATGATGGTGGCCATAAAGAAAAAGCCAAAAGTGATGACTGAAAGAATTACCCTGATTAGAAGGAAGCTAAATCGGGTTGGACATGTAAATCAGATTTGCTCAGATGATTTTGTTTAGCAGCATATCAACACCTCTATGGGTTATTTAATGTCGAAATCTAAATATTTTAAACGCAATTGTATGCCTTCAACTACAGATAAAATGTATTGTTGTTCATTTTACTATAAATATATATTGGTTGATTTGCTTTGTTTAATGGTATAACTCATTATGGGTCATTTAATGCTGAAATTCAATTTTCTTAGGAGCTTTGAAGTAATAAAAAAAAGATTTATATTATTCTGCTTTCAAAATTGAATACATGGTAGATGATACCCAGCTTTTGTGCATATACATGTTTGTGTGGACATGATTACTAGAGTCGGTGATGTGTATGTCTTATGTTGTAGTTTTGTTGAAGTTATATTGTGGAATACAGTTTGATTTATTTAAGAAATTGTAGATATTATATGGATTAATGTCATGAAAGAGGTCTTTGATGTTGATTGTTTGGTTAATTTTGTTTATATTTAATGTCAGTCACTGAGTTATTTAATACAGAAATCTAAATATTTTGAATGCAATTATATGCCTTCAACTACAGATAAAATGTACTGTTGGTCATTTTGCTATAAGATATATTGTTGGTAATTTTCCTATAATAGGTATTGTTGATAATTTTCCTATAAATAGGTATTGTTGATAATTTTCCTATAAATAGGTATTGTTGATAATTTTCCTATAAAATGTGTTGTTGGTCATTTACTTTTATATAAAAATGTATTGCCGATATTTTTACTATAAAAATGTATTTTTATACTTTTATAGTGTCTTGTTTTTGGATTAACTATTTCCCCAGAGCTGGGATCCTAACAGGTGCTATTCATGCTAGTTAAGGGTGGACCTAAGAACAACAGCAATTAAGAGGTGGTTCCACACTCCCCAAAATCTCCAATTAACCAATCAGGGGCCTTTGTTTCCAAATGTATCATACCCAGGACTGTAATCAGAAAAGCATAAAACTTTGTGGATGGATCTGACAAAGACAACTTTTCTGGCAAAAATGATCATGTGGTAGATCACCTCAGAGATAGGAAGACCAAATCAGAGATGATACCAGATTACCACTTCTGACACTTGAAAGGAGCGTCTTGGGCGGGGAGAAATGGCAAAGTTCTATGGATAAAAAGTGTGCACAGATTGGGATGATGCAACAAAGGAATCAGGTTTGGTTTGATTTGTTTTATGGCATATCAACACCTCAATGGGTTATTTAATGCCAAAATTTTTATTGCTGGTAATATTTTTTTTCAAAAATATATTGCTGGTAACAAATTTTTTTCTCTTTTTTTTTTACAAAAATGTATTGCTGGTAGTTTTTTTTTTTTTTTTGTTACAAAAATGTATTGCTGGTAAATTTTTTTTTTTTCAAAAATTTATTGCTGGTAAATTTTTTTTTGCAAAGTATTTCTGGTATTAAAAACTATTTTTACACTTTCATAGTGTTTTCACTCCAGTTTGGGGTTTAACTATTCACCCATAGTTGGGACCCTAACAGGTGCTACCACACTCGGTCAGAGTGGACCAGGGAACACCAGCAATTAAGAGGTGGTTCCATGCTCCTCAAAACCTCCTGATCAGAGACCTTGCTGCTGGACGTAGTTTATCGTCTTACCTAGGACAGCAAAGGAATCAGGATTATTTCAGTTTCTCCAGAAAAATTTCATTTAAATTCACAAGACACTTACCTGGTTGACTTTTTTACAGGTGTCCATAATGACATCACTCACATCCTTTAATAGTTGCTTGCCTCTCTGGTTAATGCTGGAATCTTTTTGGCCTCTAAAAAAAGATTGAATGGAACCAATTAGTCTTCATAGCATTCATTAACACTTCTAAGTTATCCCCCAGACGAGGCTCTGCCAAAAGATAAGTCTCATCTCTCAAAAAACTTTTTTTTTACATGGTTTATAATTTTTTTTAATTTTTTTTTATGAGACAGCAGGCAAATAATTTCATTAACACTTCTGCGGCCATGGACATACTTATACCTATATTTCTGTTATAGTGGAACACACCTACTCTATTGTTAATAGACTCCCTCACCTATAATAAGTAGGAGTAGTAGCAGTGTCTCAGTGAGTTGGTCGGTCAGTCGATGTTGGACGACTGTTAGTCGGATATTAAAGTATCAGCCACCACAACTAGATTTCTCTGCATCATTACCTATTATATCAAGTTCCTAACGTTTTGTACGTCAAACCTATTTTAGGACTGACTTAGTACAAATACAAGCCTCCACTGTGAAACTACTCTACAACAATTTCTGAGATGAGGTATTGCAATTATTTACACTATTTACATTGTTCAGACTGTTGTCCTCATATTCATTGCTATATTCGTGACATTCTTCAGGTGATTGGAATTTTGAACTGAACCCTTTATTTCGTCCCCCAGGGTAGATTGTTCTAGTTCCACATGCCATGCCTCTTCCAGATGTTTCAGTAGCAGTTATCTACATACAAATGCCAGCTATGGGTTAATTAGTAAGACTTGTATCACTAAACACTTATCTCAATAGATAAAAACAAAAAACTTCTTGCAATGTAAAAATATTTTCTGATTTGAAATAACCTGCAAAGGGTTGATAAGCCATAAAAAACAAATCAATCTCTTTGCTGAATAATTTTCTTTTTCTCATATTATCTCAGCTTCACCGAACTCTTGCAGCTGAGTGTTTTTTTTGCCTTGCTTAGGGTGAAATTATTTAAAAAAAAAAATATAGGAGACACTTCTAGGTAGATGTATGATCATTAAGGACCTGAACTATCCATGGTGAGTAGCTAATGTCTGTCTATATTTCTGAGATGAGGTATTATGTACACTATTTACATTATTCGGAATATTGTCCTCATCTTTATCACCATATTTATTACAACGAAAATATAGATGTAATCCAAAAAAATGCTGTTTTAGTGTTATCGTTTTGAATGTCACTTATTATTTTAAGAATGAGTTTGAATTTTTAAATTTTAAGGTTGTGCATTTTGTACAAATATAGTAATATGAGAATTCTTTTGTACTGGTAGGTTTTTCCGTCAATGTGGCATGAACTATATGAAATATTAAAATTTAAATTCAAGCTCAATATTTTTTGTCAATTACTTTTTTTAAAATAAACAAATTTTTAAATAAAATTTTTTTTATTACATCT